CCTGTTAGATTTCTTTTTTTTTTTTTTTTGATACGGAGTCTCGCTCTGTCGCCCAGGCTGGAGTGCAGTGGCTGGATCTCAGCTCACTGCAAGCTCTGCCTCCCGGGTTCACGCCATTCTCCTGCCTCAGCCTCCCGAGTAGCTGGGCCTACAGGCGCCCGCCACCTCGCCCGGCTAGTTTTTTTTTTTTTTTGTATTTTTTTTTAGTAGAGATGGGGTTTCACCGTGTTAGCCAGGATGGTCTCGATCTCCTGACCTCGTGATCCACCCATCTTGGCCTCCCAAAGTGCTGGGATTACAGGCTTGAGCCACCGCGCCCGGCCAGTGTTCAATATTCCTCTAAATGTTCTAAATAAAAACTTAGTAGACTGGGCCAGTACAATGAACAGAGGTGTAATTGGTTTGAAGAACACAAGATCAGGACTGTGGTAGGAACAGAAGGAAACTTGTTCCAAGCCTGTGAGAAATTTGCCCTGGGTCCAATCCCACAACCTGTTCCAATCCAGTTTCATTTGTCATCCTCACTTACAACTAATGAATTTGCTTCCATGATGGAAAACGTTAAGAACTCACTCTGGCCTGAGGTCACCCTACAAAGGAGCAATCTCAGCTGCCCGGAATGTTAGCGTTCATTGAGGGCCACACCCCTTGCCTTTTCAGTAATTCCTCCTATTACAAAATTCCAGATGCAGCCACATTGTTGATAGGAAATTTTGTTTAAAAAATACATTTCTTAGGCCGGGGGTGGTGGCTCACACCTGTAACCCAGCACTTTGGGAGGCTGAGGTGGGCGGATCACCTGAGGTCAGGAGTCCAAGACCAGCCTGGCCAACATGGTGAAACCCCATCTCTACTAAAAATACAAAAAAATTATCCAGGTGTAGTGGCATGCACTTGTAGTCCCAGCTACTAGGGAGGCTGAGGCAGGAGAATCGCTTGAGCCTGGGAGGCAGAGGTTGCAGTGAGCTGAGGTGATGCCACTGCACTCCAGTCTGGGTGACAGAGCGAAATTCCATCAAATAAATAAATAAATAAATAAATAAATAAATAAATAAATACATACATGTTTTGTGGGGCCTGGTGGCTCATGGTTATAATTCCGGCACTGTGGGAGGCTAAGGTGGGTGGATCTCCTGAGCCCAGGAGTTAAAAACCAGCCTGGGTAACGTAGGGAGACGCCATCACTATGAAAAATATTAACATAAGCCAGGTGTGGTGACACATGGCTGTAGTCCCCGTTATTTAAGAGGCTGAGGTAGGAGGATTGCTTGAGCCCAGGAGGTTGAGTACCCTAGTCTGGACAACAGAGTGAAACCCTATTTCAAGAAAATACACACACACACAAATCCCACATTTCTTTCTTTTTTTTCTTTTTTTTTGAGACGGAGTCTTGCTCTGTAGCCCGGACTGGAGTGCAGTGACCAGATCTCGGCTCACTGCAAGCTCCGCCTCCCGGGTTTACGCCATTCTCCTGCCTCAGCCTCTCGAGTAGCTGGGACTAGAGGCGCTTGCCACCTCCCCGGCTGGTTTTTTGTATTTTTTTAGTAGAGACGGGGTTTCACCGTGTTAGCCAGGATGGTCTCGATCTCCTGACCTCGTGATCCGCCCGTCTCGGCCTCCCAAAGTGCTGGGATTACAGGCTTGAGCCACCGCGCCCGGCCCCACATTTCTTTTCTTTTCTTTTTCCTTCCTTCCTTCCTTCCTTCCTTCCTTCCTTCCTTCCTTCCTTCCTTCCTTCCTTCCTTCCTCCCTCCCTCCCTTTCTTCCTTTTTTTTTTTTGAGATGGAGTCTTGCTCTGTTGCTCAGGCTGGAGTGCAGTGGCGTGATCTCAGCTCACTGCAACTTGCACCTCTCAGGTTCAAACAATTCTCCTGCCTCAGCCTCTGGAGTAGCTGGGATTACTCCTTTTCAAATTAAAAAAAAAAAAAAAAAAAAAAATTAAGGGGTAAATAAAGCCAGGCATGGTGGCTCACACCTGTAATCCCAGCACTTTGGAGGCCAAGGTGAGTAGATCACCTGAGGTCAGGAGTTTGAGACCAGCCTGGCAAACACGGTGAAACCCTCTCTACTGAAAATACAAAAATTAGCTGGGTGTGGTGGTGGGTGCCTGTAATCCCGGCTACTCAGGAGGCTGAGGCAGGAGAATCGCTTGAACCTGGGAGGTGGATCACATCACTGCACTCCAGCTTGGGTGACAGAGTGAGACTCCGTCTTGGGGAAAAAAAAAGCGAGAGTAAATATATTTTATTTTGTTTTTGGTCTTGTAAGAAATGACAGGTCGGCCACAGATGTTCATGGTTGTAATCCCAGCACTTTGGGAAGAAAATATTATTAAAATAAAAATTATTTTTACTTTTGTAGAGGCGGGGCTTCACCATGTTGCCCAGGCTGTCCTGTACTCCTGAGCTCAAGCAATCCTCCTGCTCCTGTGAACCACTGTGCCTGGCTTATGCTGAACATTTTTAAAAGTAAACCTTTGAGTATTGAGGAAATGTGTGCATAGGATGCAGTCCCAGATTATAAATCAGCTTGACGCTGGGCACGGTGGCTCACGCCTGTAATCCCAACACTGGGAGGGTGAGGCAGGCAGATCACTTGAGGTCAGTTCTAAACCAGCCTGGCCAACGTGGTGAAACCTCGTGTCTGCTAAAAATACACAAATTAGCCAGGTGTGGTGGCGGGTGCCTGTAATCCCAGCTATTCGGGAGGCTGAGGCAGAATTGCTTGAATCAGGGAGACGGAGGTTGCAGTGAACCAAGATTGCGCCATTGCACTCTAGCCTGGGTGACAGAGTGAGACTCCGTCTCAAAAGAAAAAAAAAAGAATTCAGGGCAAGTCCATGAAGTGAAAGCCAGTTTATTAGGAAAAAATGGCTATTCCTTAGGCAGAGCAGCCCCAAGGCTGCTGGTTGCCCATTTTTATGGTTATTTCTTGATGATATACCAAACAAGAGGTGGATTATTCTTGCCTCCCCATTTTAGACCATATAGGGTAACTTCCTAATGTCGCCACGGCGTTTGTAAACTGTCATGGTACTGATGGGAGTGTAGCAGTGAGGACAACCAGAGGTCACTCTCGTGGCCATCCTGGTTTTTGGTGGATTTTAGCCGGCTACTTTAAACTGTTTTATCAGCAAGGTCTTTATGACGTGTATCTTGTGCTGACCTCCTATCTCATCCTGTGACTTAGAATGCCTAACCATCTAGGAATGCAGCCCAGTAGATCTCAGCCTCATTTTACCCAGCCTCTATACAAGATGGAGTCGCTCTGGTTTAAACGCCTCGGACACAAGCAACTTGGGTACTAAAAGCTGTTACAACGCCCTTGCTGGTTTTGCCTGCTAATGATAATCTACAGAATTCTAAAGATTTACCTAGAGAGAAAAAAAGTAAAAAAAAAAACACAATTCAAGACAGAAGAGCAAAATGACTCCAGCTGAGAAACTTGAAGAATAAAATCAACCAGGAGGATGCTTCATGTGAGTAGAAAGTGGACAGTATTTTCACCATGTAAGGAAATGCGATCTTTTGAAAAAAGAACGAGGTCATTTTGTATTTTAATAAGGGCAGTTCCTTCTTTCCACTTACCTGCTTCTAGGAGACAACAGCAAAGAGCTGGCCTTGTTTTAGCAACCTGCATTGCAGTTTACATTCCCTTTAATCCAAGGCAAAGATTAAAGAGATCCCCACCCCTGCTCCAAGTCAATCTTGAAGGGCAAGTGTCTGGTTCTTACCTCATCTACCCACACCTGGAACCTGTTATGGTATGGACAAGTTGAAACAGTAACTTGTTCCTCCACCCAACAGTCTCGCAATACTCCAAAAGAGCAAACAATACTTTTTTATTATTTTAATTAATTTATTTTTTGAGATGGAGTTTTGCTCTAGCTGCCCAGGCTGGAGTGTAATGGCACAATCTTGGCTCACTGCAACCTCTGCATCCCGGGTTCAAATGATTCTCCTCCCTCAGCCTTCTGAGTAGCTGGGATTACAGGCATGCGCTACCATGCCTGGCTAATTTTGTATTTTTTTTTTTTTTAGTAGAGACGGGGTTTCTCCCTGTTGGTCAGGCTGGTCTTGAACTCCCGACCTCAGGTGATCTGCCCGCCTCAGCTTCCCAAAGTGCTGGGATTACAGGTGTGAGCCACCGCGCCTGGCCAATGATATCTTTTTAAAATGGGGCACCTGCAGGCCGGGTGCACTGGCTCAAGCCTGTAATCCCAGCACTTTGGGAGGCCAAGGTGGGCGGATCACGAGGTCAAGGGTTCAAGACCAGCCTGACCAACATGGAGAAATCCCGTCTCTACTAAAAATACAAAATTAGCAGGGCGTGGTGGCACATGCCTGTAATCCCAGCTACTCAGGAGGCTGAGGCAGGAGAATCGCTTGAACCCGGGAGGCGGAGGTTGTGGTGAGCCAAGATCGGGCCATTGTACTCCAGCCTGGGCAACAAGAGCAAAACTCCCTCTCAAAAACAAAAAAAACAGAAAAAAAAGAATCAGTGCTTTTATAGAGCTTTTGACAAGGAGGCAGTACAGCAGTTAAGAGCACAGATATGGGGGTCAGAGAGATCTGGATTTAGATTTACTAGGTTGTGTATCAGCTGTGTGTTTTAGTTATGTGTGTATTTAGCTGTATTTCCTCTAAACAATGAGGTTAACAATGCCTATCCAATGTGGTGATTGTGAAAATGGGATAATGCACAAAAATACCTTAACATGATGTCTGGTAGATGGCAAAGAGGTAACTATTAAGATACCTCTGGTATTCACAGGTGACTCTACTAATGCAATACTTCTTAAAGGGACATTTAAACAACTACTGCTGTGATGTAAGGAATAGTCAAATCTTTAGTTGAACACTCGCCTCTCAAGAACCACTTCTGGAATGTCGACAAGTTCCTTTAACCTCTCTCTGCCTCCCTTTCCTTACTTCCAAGTGGTGATAATGATTTGCTTGACAGAAATGCTGAGCGAAATCAGGTTAAAAACACTATGTAAACAACTGTAAAGGATTGCTTTATTTTGAACTTAAGCTCAGAGGAAAAGAAACCAAAAGTATTTTAAATTTTATTCTATTTCTAGCACATTCTGTGAGGGCTTTAAAAAGAAATTTCTCTCTTTATAATTTTCCTTTCCTTTATTCTTTACAGAACAGTAAATCTGATTACTCAAGTTCTCAAAAATGAAAACTATATCTGGAATGTTTCTGTTTTGCTCCCCCTGTTGGCCTGAAAGCAGGATAACACTGCCTGAGACTAACAATTCAAGACAATCTAAACATTTATTTTCATGGACTTGACTAACATAAAGACGTAATGGCATTCCACAGAAAGACCTAAACCACAGTTTCAGCTCTATCTTATATATATATATCTGACAATTAAAAGCAATATTTATGTCTAATTATTAATTTTTAACTATTAGGGTTCAAATCTAGAAAATTATACAAAGGCTAGCTGCATGCCATTCATTTTTCAAAATAATTACTTTTCAAAAATTCTGCTGTTCCTATATTTAAGGCTGAAATCCACTGAAAGCACCCAAACTTGCAACTCCTATCATTATTTTTGTTTTGCTACCACTAATTTTTACAATTTTTTTTTTTTTTCTTTTTGAGACGGAGTTTTGTTCTTGTTGCCCAGGCTGGAGTGCAGTGGCATGATCTCGGCTCACCGCAACCTCTGCCTCCCAGGTTTAAGTGATTCTCCTGCCTCAGCCTCCCAAGTAGCCGGGATTACAGGTATGTACCACCACACCTGGCTAATTTTTGTATTTTTAGTAGAGATGGGGTTTTGCCATGTTGGCGAGGCTAGTCTTGAACTCCAGACCTCAGGTGATCCTTCCATCTTGGCCTCCCAAAGTGCTAGGATTACAGGCATGAGCCACCACGCCTGGCCAACAATTTACTTTTACACTTAAAAGTTATATACACTGGCCAGGTGAGGTGGCTTACGCCTGTAATCCCAGCACTTTGGGAGGCTGAGGCAGGCAGATCGCCTGAGGTCAGGAGTTCAAGACTAGCCTGACACGACGTGGAGAAACCTCGTCTCTACTAAAAATACAAAGTTAGTTGGGTATGGTGGCACACGCCTGTAATCCCAGCTACTCGGGAGACTGAGGCAGGAGAATTGCTTAAACCCGGGAGGCAGAGGTTGTGGTGAGCCGAGATCATTCCACTGCACTCCAGCCTGGGCAACAAGAGTGAAACTCCGTCTCAAAAAATCAAAAAACAAAACAAAACAAAAGTTATATACACTGTTTTACCTGTGAATCACTTTTTTGTATTCAAAGTCTTAGATTATGTATATGAAAACTAATTTATTAAACCTCTGTACACAAAGATGAACATACCTGTACAGCAACCATATATGAAGAATGAAGTTACAAAAAAGTAAAAGTACTACTAAAATTGACGCATGTAAATCACTTATAAAAATACCCCAAACGGGATAAAGCTGCTCATCCCTGATTTTTCTCATTTGGTTGTAGGAGTTGAAACATGAATTTAAAATGGTAGAATTTTTTCTTTTAAAAAGTGATATATTAAACTTATATACAGGATAATTAGCAAAATGTAGAAAGGGAAAACAATGTACAAAAGATAAAAACCATCACTCTTGACGGACAGTCACAATCCAAAAATAGTATAAACCTTAACAAACTCTCTCTAAACCAGGTCATCTTCACATCTCCCCCCAAGTTTTGTCAGTGAGAATAAAATATAGTGAACTAGTGAGCTCAGTCTTTCTTTAAAATAGGCTTGACTTTGGAACACGAACCTTGGATAGATTTTTAAAAATGGGAGGTACAAACAGGAAAACCATTCTATCTCTCCACTTAATTAGTACTAATTAACGGAACAAAGTTATTAAATAGCTCTCAGTGCTAAGTCAAGCCGTTATTCAGAGGCCTTTTTGTTTTTCTGCTGGTTTCGGGGTGAGTTCTTTAACAAGCTTCTTATCCTGAGGTACATTCCAGTAGATTCTGCCATATTCTCAAATTCAAATGGCGTGATTCCAGTTGCAAATTTGCTCATGTCAGGTATAGGGCTATGAATTTTAGTGGCCGTTGAAGGACTGGTGTCTGCAGGAAAGAGCTTCCGGCTGTCCCCATTGCTAACGTCACAGTCTGGTACAACACTGCCATTATCAAGGGGGGCACCTTCAGGGTTTACTGGAACCAACTCTGCCTTTTCCTTCTGACAAAGTGATGTCACCTCAGCATCTGGACTGGAGGCATGTCCAGCTTCTGACTTCTTTGTAAAAATTTCTGGTACCTCAGGCTCATCCAGCATCTGCTTTTCAGATGTTTTTCCCTCTGGGACAGGGAGGTCCAGCTCATTTGGACAAGGTGATGAGGCAACGGAATTCCCAGTTAAAGGTGTGTCCACAGGAATGTCAGAGTCGCTGTTTACACTCTCAGCCTGCTCGAGAGCTGCCCAGATCCGCCTCTGCTGTTCTTCAAGTTCTTCTAGAGTCAGTGCGTCCTCATCCACAGCTCCAGATGCTGTTCTGGTCTGGGGTGAGTCACTGGGAGTCAGCGGCGGGGTGCCCTTGGGGAGTGGAGGGGTGAAGACGGGCGGAGGAGTTCCCCGGGGGAGTGGAGGAGTGTCAGGAGGTAATGGTGGTTGAAACTGAAAAGTTTCGCTGCTCAGAGAACCATGTGGTACCTCCACATCTGAAGTAAGAAAGTTAAGAGATACTTTAGAACTTGTAATAGCATCTGGTTTTACTAAAATTTGTTATTTGAACTCAGGTGTATCCAGATATTCAATGGCCAAAAATAACTGGCTTAAGAGGCGGGACATTCTGGATTCTCAGGTGCCATGACCATTACCTGGTGTCCTCAGTCCACCTGAAAAGATCTGCAGGGAGACCTGTCAGGTTCTTCTGGTGCTAGAGGATATCCCTCGGGAGATCCATTTCTGTGCTGTGTGCATCGTTTTAGATTGAGGAAATATGAGCAATTGCATGGAGACTTCAGAATTTCAAGGTAGTGCGCTCTACCCAAAAATTCATGGCAGAATGCAGTAGGAAATTTGACTGGAGGTGCAGGCTGGCTACTGAGTGGGTGGAAAGCTAATGGGGAGGAAGTGAGGGGCAAGCCAAGAGTACACCTTGGGTTATTTCCTAGCTTTTTCTTTTTTTTTTTTTTTGAGACAGAGTCTTGCTCTGTCTCCCAGGCTGGAGTGCAGTGGCAC